TTGATCCAAATGAAAATGTTGAACCTTAGCCATTACCTTTTAATGCTTAGAGCCCGAGCTTTCAATTTTCAGAGGTACATGCATAGAGGAAAAAACAACACTTTCCATAGGTAACAATTTTATCCTTTGAGCTTTGGGTTTGTTTTGCATTTAAGAAACTTTAACCATTTTATCCTCTCCACTTTTTTGTCAAAACTTTGAAAAAGATGAGGTCAATAAAATAAAAATTCAGTTTAAGCATACTATAGTAATCTTTTTATAGTGCACTTTATCAAAACCTAATTTTATTATACAAAATAAGTCTTAATAGGACATAATCTGTACATCAATTATTTTTTTTAATTGTTTAGTCGTATTGGAAAATTGCAAAAACAATCTGGTAAAATATTGCCTTTTTAATTAATTTATATAATTACCGAGTTCAAGAACTATTTCTCATATTTGGTTCCCTTATCGCCAAAAAGTCAACACAGAAATGCGCTATTGGTGTATGCATATTTACATACCATCTCCAATCAGTGAGCGTGATAAGGCTCCTTGTCTATCATCGAAAGGTCGCTTAAAGGTCTGCAGTCTCTCGGGTAATCACAGTGACAAATTGGCTTTCAATTTCCACAGTATGATGTGTGTTGATGTCGAACTTCGCCTTATTGTGAAAAAAGTCCTGCTGAATGATACAAATATCAACTTTTAAACATCTTTTTCTTCTTTTGTAATCGAAGACTCAGGGGTATAAAGTTTTTGCCGTGTAAGTCCGTCTGTCAGTATGTGTGTCCACGGAAACCTCGTCTGTATAGCTGTCAGCTTGTTCGTCTATTTATCTGTATGACTGTTTGCATGTTTCCGCAAAATGTTTGATTGGTTGCTGCTATGGCATTTATATTTCACATTGTGGTTTCCTTGGAATGAGTCCTTTCTTTAGGTTTCACAAAATGTGAGCCCTTGACCTTGGAGTTTGACCCACTTTTTCAAGAATTTACTTAACTTTAACTTATGTTGTAACTTTCGTGCAGTTGGTGCAATTTTTTTTACAAGACCGTGGAGCTTTACCCAATTCTAAACTACTTTAAATTTGATCTTAAACTTTACTTTTGAATATTTAGAATTAGTGCTTTCATACGCCACAAGTATATATTCCTTGTGACAGCTGGTCTTTCTCTTGAATACTTTTAATTTGACCCTTTCACCTTGAGCTTTGATTTTGACTCACAGGAAAAAATCTATGAGTCAATGGCCATAGCCTTTGAATTGATGATGCTTGGGTTTCATGTTATAAAGGTTTGTTCATTGAGACAAATTCCTTCTTTGGGTCAAAACAGTTTTCATCTCTTGATCTTGGAATTTGACTTGCATATCAAAAGCCTCAACCCTCAATAAAACCTATCACACACATCAGTTTTTCATTTCACAAAAAATTCCTTGTAGTATTTAAATTCTTTCTGGTTTTCATATTTCAATCATGTACGTATTTAGATAACATTCTGATAATAAATGGAAATCCATTTGCAATTGGTCGTTCTTGGCTCGGGAGTCGGTAACTGATATACTATTAGCCATGTGATTTATGTGGTCTACCCTACTTCAGTCACGTACCTCCCTTCAAAAATAATGATCATCTCGCGAAGATAAATTTCATGATGTGTATACAAAGAAGACGAGTCTGATCCTATTTATTTTGCCCGTATATATCATAAACACAAAACATTTTACGGTTGTGTCCAGTTTATGATAAACGTTTCGAACATTCCGTGGTATATAGTTTTTGTTCTGTCCTTAGTCCGTCTGTTTGCACTGCCTATCGGTATTTTCTGTTAATCCGTTTATCTCTTTGTCCGCAAAAACTCTAACTGTCAACTTGGTTCTACGGCTTTAATGTTTAGCTCCAAAGTTGGGGGAGTTATGATAACCTCGTTTCGAATATTAAGGTCTTTGGACCAGTTTTTTTTTTTTAAGTACTTCTGTGCTCTATATTGATCAGACAGGCATGGGAGATGTTTCTACGTGTTTCATTGTTCCAGATAGGTTTCAATAATGGTTCAATAATTCATGGTTTTATCTTGAATTACAGAGGTCACAGAGAGGTAAATGTTTTGTTTTTATTTTCAAAAATTTATTACAACCAACTCTGCTTCAGATGTTGAATCTTACATTCATTTTCTGATGAGTGAACAGGTTAGTGTGAATGGTTCAGGTCTCATTTCTCATTTAATTTGACGGTGTTTCAAGAATGCGCTTAAATGTCAATACTTGTTTACGACCAGCCATTTTCATTATTTTTTGTTTCTTTTTTATTTTAATTTAATGAGATATCGAGATGATAAGTCGATAGTAATACATTATTATTTTTGTATGACCGTTTAATCAATGCATTTAAATCGATTTATTATCCCACAGAACTCCCTCTCAAGGCACAATAGTTATAATTTCTAAATTGACTTCATAATTTAACATTTGGCTTACAGTGAGGTGACGAATTCAACACAGAACAACCCTTTACCCCCCAGTGGCGTAGCATCGTTTTTGAAAGTGGGGGGCCAGGCAGAGAATTTTTTTTTACTTACCTTAAAAAGTTGACAAGCCAAAAAAAAAAAAAAAAACGGTAAAAGTTGAAAGTTCCTATTTCGAAGAAACTTTTTCTCAGTGTCATCTACTTTTAGTACCAATTCTTATACTACATTTTCGGTACATTTTTAAAATTGGGGGGGCCAACAAGGCTTTCAATTAACATTTCCTATAGTGTAAGTAAGGTTGGGAAAAAAAGTGGGGGGGGGGGCACCCCCCCCCCCCCCCCCCCCCCCCCGGATACTACGCCCCTGCTATTTTGTTGAAAATTAGACTTTCTCTCATTTGGTTTGTCTACTTCATTAACTTTACACACTGATTATACAAAATGTCTAGTTTTCGATATTGACGTTAAACATCATCATATGTCGAGGTTTCAAACACGAATAATATCTGCCTAATGAATGAGTTCTGTGTACATCCCAGCGCAATCGACCAAAGCTGTAGAGATTTAGCACTCTAATTGGTTTTTGTACTGACGATGCATATAAACTCGCCGACAGCGACAGCAGCCAGGCAAATATTGACCAGTTATGCTGTAAAACGCCCCGGTATAACAAAGAATTATCAAATAATACCGCGTAATGGGGACGTTACAGAGGAGAGAGAGAGAGAGAGAGAGAGAGAGGACGCGCCCTCAAATCGAGGCTGATTGTCTTTTGGTAACATAAACGTGATTCTCGCGAGATCTATGCAGTTGACTTCATATGTTTTTCACAGCTGAAATTCATTTTGATATCTATTTTCAAATCTTGATGTTAATGTTCTTGGGAGGTTCAATTACATGGTTATAGATCTAAAATCTCACTTTTTGGCACCAAATTAAGTGATTGTGAATAGTCCTATTGCATCAATAAAGAATATTCAATTACAGAATTATCTTAATCATACATGTGATAGTTTAAAAAAAAATAATAAAGAATCATGATTGGTCGCAGTGAATTGTGAAAGGACGCACAGATACTTAGACATTCCTGGATCAATTCCCTAAATATCTACAGTGTGTCGAATTACGTTCCCACTTCCGTTCTGTTATTACCGAGTTAGCTGGATAGACTAATGTTATGGTATACTATTCTGACAATTTAAGTGCCGGCCTTCATAGGAAACGCGGTCGTCTAGAATTGGACATAACAGATATATTGAATTAGCTAGTTTACCGTGACCCCCGACGTATTTGGAAGATCTTCAGATAATTCCGATAAGTGATTTCAATTGCTGCCAAATGCTGCACGGAAGTTCTGGATGGAGACGAGATATCCGAGCAAAGCGGAACTGGTGATGCGTTTTCATATCTGGTGAAAATGCCATATAATTAACACCATCCTGTCTTGCCACTAAAGACTTTAGGAGACTTTAAAATTAATTGGAATTATATTGTATTAAAAACATTCTAAAAAGGGGGAAATAATTAAAAAGAAGCTCATCATAGCGAGTGAAACTTTAAAATAAAAAAAAAAACTATTCTTACTGGATTTTAATTAAATTCTATTCTCTGAGCAGTTTAAGGAATATTTATGTCCTGTTATAAAAAATGCGGCTAAAATTAAAAACCATAAAACCAAGTGCGACAAGACCATTACAAGGATTACGTCGCAGAGCTTCTAGTTAGGCTCGTACTAAAGTTGCACATAAAAACGGATTGATCTCTCAGTTACTAATGGCGTATTGTGTTCAGGAATCATCTTAATCGCACTATTCGCTTCTGTATCAATATTTATGGTGATTTTACCGTGTTCTCCAAAGGACAGGTGCTTTTTGCATAAGGCGTCCATATAAAGAGACCAGTCTTTATGAAGCACTGGCTCTAAAGTCTATTGTAGTGTTTTTACTGTAATGGATTAGCTTGCTGTAGGAGTCTGGGAACATCCTATTGTTGTTTATTGGAGGGATTACCTCTGGAGTAAAGTTTTGTGCCTGTGGCGTATTAGTATTATTGATGTTTTGTGCGTGAGACCAAACTTTGATTTTGTTGAGCGATGTCATAAATCTGTGTTGGTAGATGTTTTATCAGATGTAATGCGCCTATGATCCAACGATATGTGTGTTAAATGGTGAACAGCCGAAACCTATGGGGAAGTTTATGTATCGGTTATGTTTAAACTAAAATTTCCGACATTTAAAAAGTTGGAATTTGCTGATTATGTGAAAATTGTATAGGATTTTTATCCGATCTTTATCAGAAGTTTGGAACCTTTAACTATTGTTAAAATCCGATACGATCTAAAAAAAATCAAATAACAACAACAGCAATTGCTGTGGATTTCAGTATAACCTTTGTTAAACTCATAAGTAAATATTCTGGATATCCAAACCTTAAACAATGAGCTAGTGCACTGAAGCAAACGCAGTATAGTGATGGCCAGTATGCGACTAATGGAGAACGAAAATTGTCCGATGTGCTCCTCATGTTTCGGTATTCTTCTGTCGTTTTTTAGATTTGAACGCCCCAGCAGTCGGAACCCAGTGGTCACAGAGCAGGTACAGCCGTCCCCTAACGCTCATACATCCCTCCACGATAGCCTGGGGATAAGGAATGGCACGGAGGCGGGGCCTCAGAACTACCAGGCCATGGGAGGGACACCGACCCATAGGGTGAGTAGATACACGTGATCATGTCTACAATATGTACTCTATATTGTAAGGCGATAAGAAAGAAATGTTAATTAATGCAATCAACATTTTTTAAATGTTTATATTGTAAGTCATGAAAAAAATAACTTTGACCGTTTGCCCTTTCAGTTTTTTTTTTTATTGGGGGGGGGGGTTCTTATATGCTAGGATCAACCAGGAAGCAGCTTCAGACTTGACAATATATTTGATTTCTTCCATTTTGTTTTATACAAATCAAAATCAATGTTTGAAATATTATCCACTTTTGCTTCCGTTACGTATTAATTTTTAATTTTCAAAAAAGCTGTTGCTAGTTATTGACAATTTTATGAATAATTGAATTTTTGGCTCAAAATCTAAGAATTTGTTTTCATTGTCCACGGGTTTGATACTTTTTTGAAGCAAAGTGCTATTTTCTCCATTTTTTTTCACTGGATCTACCCTATTTAAACTCATTATATTCTGTCTATATATTGTGATGTATAGCTGATTACTACATGTTTGACGGTCGCTTAATACATTCCTTTCAAGAATTAGATTTTTGCCTTGGTGTGTTACATCCTAGCGTTTCTATGACAAAAGCAATGAATACATATTTAGATAAATATTCCGGTGGTCACATAAACTATCCCCCATTATGGGCCATAATGATATTCCACACGCAATGATTATCATATGCGACTACTTCCGATCTATTATAGTTATCCTGCTTATATAAGGCGGCTGTCTTAAATTATTGGAGTATAAATGGTTCTATTGATGTGGCTGTCCTGAGAGACATTAAAAATACATGGATTAGCTTATATCAGTGGAATCTAAAACCGGGTTTAAGAGTGCATGTAACAGTTTTGTTCTAATTTAAGAATTCTTGTGCTTCCAGCGCAGGTCCTTGTCGCACCAAGTATCCTGAGGTATATATACATGTATCTGCTAATGACACATCGCTTGGCTTCTTTTATTCTTCTGCAAAGATTTCTTATTAATTAAATAGCTCTCTTTATGAAAAAGTAAAAATGAAGTGATGAAAAAAATATCAACTATTAAAGAATTTTTACAATATGAAAATAAGCAGAGTCCTTGATTTAGGATGCCTGTATAACATATTATTATTATGTTTATTCACCAATCAAGGGCCCACGGGGGGCATGAACAATTATTACAAAATGATAACATTGATTACAATTCTATATTAAAGATAATGTAACATGACTAGTGATTATGTTTGACATTAAGAAGTGCATCACCACACTGGATCAAAAGCATAGAAACCATAGAATGATAAAAGAAAACACAATTAAATAAAAATGATAGATATAAGGTAAATTAAAAAAAAAAATCTTGTAGTAATGGCAGTACTCTAATATAAAACTATATATTGAATACAAAGGGCACCATGATACCTCTACACAGCCAGAAGGCAAACCTGTACCCTAAGTATTGAAGATGGTCATTCAAAAAAAAAAAAAATCATTTAAGTATTAACAGAAATAGTAATTTCAATTAATAAGTACTTAGCATATAATTATAAACTTAATGCAAACTAATCTCTTGGAGTTAGTTCAATAGATATTTGACTATAAAACATGTATAGTGCTTTTGCCAAAAAAGTTTGATATTAGTGGTATAATTTTCTTCATTTATTATATTCATAGACTTTATTTGTGCTTTTGTTCACATATTAAGACTGTACAATGTATTAGTTTACATTCACTGTATACTTTCATTTCTATTTCCTAATAATTCATATTACATACAAATTCAAGAGATTATGCTAGATTAAAATCTAATTTACCTTACACCTGACTTTTAAAGTGCAGTTCTGTGCTCTCCCACGTTAAAGTTTATATGAAGACAATTTCCTGGTTTACAAGGATATGACTTTGCAGGAGAGTAGTAAATATTACTGTGATTTTTCCTTATTATTTTGCTACTAAGGAAGTCGGTCTTTTGATATAAGCAGCTGTGTCGATTTGTAGTTGGTTAATGGTCCACGACGGAGTTATTTCCCTATCGGGTTAGAAATCTCACCCCCGCCATCATGGGACATGTTTACATCGTTTATTTCATGTTCGTCATTAAAATGAAATTTACACTCACCTTTTTTCACCGTAAGGTGTTTTTTTTTTCTTTATTTGATAGCGTTCAGGACCAGTGATCGCTAAAGATCGATTGCTCCGATAAAGCTATCTTTGTCATAAAAGTATAATTTTTCTCTTTTTTTAACAAAAATGTTATCAGATTAAGAGTAAACTTTGTATAGACTTACTGACACTGAAATTAGGTTCTCGTAAAGAAAGTGATTTTGTAAAGTTTATTGTTTTGCTTGTAGAATTAACAATGTATATAAGTAATCGATGACTGCTGGTTTGAATTGTAGATTAACACCTGTCATAATCAATAGAAAACTTTTCATCATTTTTAACGCGCACCTGGCCCGCGTGTTACATGAATTAAGGGGATGGAGAAAATCATATATGTGTATTTCAGATCATCTTTGGAGTCTGAAAAATTCAAGGGACATTGAAATAAAGCAGAGTTCAAAGCAGGCTTAAACTGTTAGACAATTAGTGAGCAATCAATACCGTGACACAACCCTAATTTCGTCTTTTCATGTTTTCTCTCTCTCTCTCTCTCAAAGTAATATTTATCGGAAAGGCTATATGCAAATTCATTGCTGTAGGGAAAGAAATATTGACCATAAAATGATGAATGTTCCTGCAACATTTGTCTACGACATGCGTTCCTAAGGTCATGTGAATTTTGCGCGTTTTTTCGTGTATTCCTTTTCCCAATAAAATCAATAATAAACCCACAACGAGAAAGAAGATTAAAACTCACTTGTCGCTTGAAATGCGTGAATTTTGAATTTAAAATTCGATTAGGTTGATCTCTTCTTACATGCAGATTTTATTGAGTGAAAATCTTGTTCAACGTAATGAAGGCCTATCAACTTTTGTATCAATAGCTTCTTTGAGAGAAAGGGAAAGGGGCGTTCAAAATATCTATTATTTCTAGGTGAAATACCCCAGAGTTTGTTCTTGTGCAGAGAAAATTACAGCAGAAGGATTTGCATAAATTACATGAAATATACAATTATTCGGAAGCTGGTTATGAAGACTTCCTCTGTGATTTTTCCCCCACAAATTATATCATCGATCTAACAATTTACATGGTTCAAACTTTTATCAACAATTTCACCTCATACGTTTTTTTCATATTTTTCCCTGGATTTTTTTTTCTCTTACGTTCACGCAACAAGATCGAAATCGGCTGTCATTCATTTATTCTAAACTTACAAGCTTTATGAATGAATCCCGCTGCGGAATGTATTCAACTTTTATTTTAACCGATTTTCTCAATGAATCCTGTGATTATATCCAAATAGAATCCGACAATGTATTGTCTAATATCAGCGGGGGAAAATCGTAAAAATGGCTGTAGTTGCAGATTAAGGGATAAACTGCTATAACTATACTAGAAGATAAAAAAATCCTCCCTGGTTATTTTTGTATTATCACATGCTCCTCAAATTTATCTAGACAATTTTGTGGATATCTTGCCGGCGTAGAGAATATCGTAATACGCATGGGATGGTGTTGAAATTGACAAAAGATGCAACGTGTCAAAATCATTACCTAAATAGATATATATCTCGTAAATTGTATTTTAGAGTGGGCCGATAATTTACATATAGACGCTCAGCGGAATATAATAATGTTATCAATGGGCTTTAAGGCCCACATTGTTTTTTTCTGACGGCCGAAGCTTTCTTGTCAGTCTGATGTTGCTTCTGCATTTTGAAATGCATATGTAAATCGTTTGTGAATCACCATGTCAAAGGTAAGACCAAGATTTTGTTTAGAAAGATATCCTAATTATTGATTGATTGATTGTCTAATTGAGTTGTTAAGGGTTAAGTCGGCAATATGTCTGCTTTATTATGGCGGAACGTTAAGTTAATATTGGTTTTCAAGGATTTTAATTTCTATGGCGGCCCCAATGACTATACTCTTTTTCGAAATCCAGAGAAACGATATTTTTCGTACCAAGGGGATACAGTATATACATGTATAATCCTTGATATCATACGTCCCATTATACGGACATTTTGTCTCATTAGGCCATTCTAAGTTTTTTTCCATGTTTTGATGTGTATTTATACTTTAAAAAAATAAGAGACGCGAAAACATCTTTAATATTGTGATGTATTTTTTCGATTAAATGAGAGCTAAATGTTATTATTGGGTATATAACAATATATACATGTACAAATCTTTTCGATATATATTATCAGCAACAGGGCTAACCGGCTAAGTGAAGACCAACTTTAGTCCTAGGGCCTTAACTTTATGCTGCTGTGATTTGTGTTTTGAATTGATAAGGAATATTGCATGGAAAACGGGACAATGTATTATTGTGTAAATATATCACCAAAATATTTCAAAATGTCGCGATAAGATTTTTAAATCACAATATTTCCTTTTGAATTGTTTTCTCTGTTCTTTTAGAGTTTAAAGTGAATTTATTTCTTGATAATTCTACCGGAATGTAAGGTCACGAGGTAATGAGGCCAAATATGCATGTACATCTCGTGCAGCTGCCTTTGTGTTTTAATTCAGTGGGCGGGGACTATTAAAGTGAATTTATTTCTTGATAATTCTACCGGAATGTAAGGTCACGAGGTAATGAGGCCAAATATGCATGTACATCCCGTGCAGCTGCCTTTGTGTTTTAATTCAGTGGGCGGGGACTATTGAAATTGACATAAGAGTCCTTGTGCGATTTAAATTATTTAGACATTTTTTAGTCTGAATTCACAATTTTATTTAACATTTATAAACATCCAACACTATACATGTACGAATAAATGTAAAACACCTGTTTCGAAACTTGAATAGATGATTAACTCTGTCAGTTTAAAAAGCCCTTGGTCAATTATATCTGAAAAATTCCGGTGCATCGATATCAATTTAAGGCTTTCA